TTAAAGCAAAATAATTGTAAAAATTGAATTAATTTTTTTTATTCATTTGCATTATTGTAAAACCTATTTATTTGTTGTCAAATTTTCAAAAAATAATAAATCCTATTAAAATATGGATTTTGATAATTTTACACCAATTAAAAATACAGATTTACAATCTAATCTCAAAAGCAGTAAGGGAATTACTGTTTTCATTCCAAATAATTATTCACCAGTTTTGGTACAAAATAATGAGACTGTAAATTCACAAAATATAATAAGGAACTTCCGGGATCAAAAGATTTAAATATATCTTGATTTATTTTAAACACAGAAACAAACAACTCTTTAACAGATAAAACTACAAAAAAACCTCCAAATTGTTTTCTTCTATTTCGAAATGACATGTATGATATTGTTAAAGCCAAGTACTCACAATTTAGCAATCATGATATCTCAATTTTTGTCGGTCAATTGTGGAAAGAATCGAGTCAAGAACTTAAGAAAGAGTATTGACAACATGCTAAAAATATCAAATTAGAATTTTAAAAATAGAATAGTGGTAAAAATACTTATAAGAAAAAATCAACAAAGAGTCCCTTTAAAAGGAAAAAATTAGACAACCATGAAAATAATGATCTAACAAAAAAGATGAAACAAATACTTAATTTTCATTTGAATAACTCTATATCAAAAGAGTCAAATAAAATATATAATTGCAAGGAAGCTTATCCTAAAGATTCAAGTGAAAGAAATAATGACCATTCTGAAGAGACCAAAGAAGAATCATTTATCAATTAGAATTTGATGAATATGATATTTTTGACCTAAACTCGGACCAAATTCTATTAGAAAGCTATAGCTACTTTAACAGATAGCAGTTAGCAGATCATATGGAGAATCCTTCTGCATTAATTTATGGAGAGCAGTTAACAGATAAGTCAGAGAATGGGAAGTCAACAGCAAATTTAATTGATAATTCTGTGCTGAACGAATTGCAAACAACAAAAAATATAGAAAATTCAGAGTCTTTAAAAAAAGCAGCAAATTTAGATTTAACAGAATTAATAAGACTTATAATATGAGATAGGTAACAAGCCAGATAAAATTAACTTATTTAACTTATTTCTTTGTTGTATAATATGTTTATTTACTATTTTGGTAACATCTAAAATAGGTCATTAAATGAATATAATTAATTGATCAAATACTTACTAGTAATTTTACTTTACAACTTACCTGATATTTAGTTTTAGAATAAGCTATTTTTCAGTAAATGAACCTTTTACTCACCGATTCATTTGGCGGACAGACTAAAATGACCTTCTCTTCAGATGATTCTAATTAGCCTATAATAATGGTATCCCGAGATATTTAAAAGGTTGGTTGATTCGTGTTAAATAGGATAGGTTAAACCCACAATTTTACCCAAACCAAACAAAGTTCAATTATCTCGTGATTCTATGATTATATTGATTTTATAGAAAAAAATAAAATCATCTGAATACTAAAGAAAAAATGTTTCACAATCCATTTTATTCTTTTAATTTAAGTTGTATAATAAATTTATACTGAATATTTATATTGATTTATTTAATTTTCATATTTGGAATATTTGGATTATAATTAACACAACATATTAGCAGATCATCGATAAACTATTACACAAAAATTTGCTCCTAAGTGATGTTAAAAAACTTACAAATGAAGCACTTGTTACAAATAACAAAAGGGCTTTTTTGATGTCTAAACAAGTTAAAAAACCAAAAAAAAAAACTCAATAAAATAGCTATGCTAAACTGTAGAACCGTTTGTTGAAATACTCGGGTATTTAAGATAGGTTGGTAACTATCAAGGGTAAATTCGGAAGCTACGGTGCAGGACACCTAAAGGCAAAAGTAATATGACTTGTCCCATTTTCAAAAATTTATAATCAAATTTGATGTTTTTTTGAAATCCTGCATTTTGATTGGATAAATATTAATTTTTAAAATTAATTTTAAAATATTTTAAAATTAACCAATAGCAATGAGCCAAAACATGTGACTTGTCCCATTTTGGGGTAATTTTTTCCATATCATATAAAAATAGCACACTTTTAAACTCATATATATTGAAAATATATAATAAGTTTTAAAAAATTAGAGCCGCTAAGTTGTAGTAAATTAGTTAAACTACAAAATAGCGGCTCATTTTTTTTGATATTATTTTTATATTAAATGCTATTTGCTTTTAAAGTTTGGGAAGCCTTTAGATATCCTGCACTATAATTTTCAAAAAAATTGCCTTTTAACCTACTTATGGATTATAATTAAATACATAAATTTTATAATTTTCTACGTACTTAATTATAAATGCAAAGCTGACTGTTTTTGTGAAAATTTGCTCTATAATAAATTTTCATATAAAATTTTTTTAATAATCTTTGATCATGATTGGTCTAAACAAACTATTAGTTTTTGAATAGAATGAACGTTCTAAATTATTAAGTTGATATAAATAGTTTTTCCTAGTAATAAACTTGAATATTAAGAATTTGTTTATTGGGTTTGCTAAAATATTGGAATTAAATATACAATTTTTGAATTCCTCAGATTGAATAAAATTGACAATTAAAAGTTATTTATTATTCGATGAATTGATATAAATTAGCTTCAAATATTCAATTATTTTTATTATTACTTTTATAGATTTATTAATTGAATTCTTCAGATTGAATAAATTTCATCTAAATCGAAACTTAAAGGTTAATATATATTAGTGCTTCGTACTCTATATAATTTCATTAAAAATTTCATCTAATTTTGTCTGACTATATTTTTCTACCTATTTAAAAATTTTTGTTAGTATTTTGTGGCTTTCAGTTATTTGATATTATAGTTATCATAACATTGCAGGGAGGTAATAATCATTCTGGAATTTTTTTTATGATATCAGATAGGAATTCCACGTCTGGATCTTTTATAACTTTCTGAAACATTTTTCTAATTTGATGTGTACAATATTCAAGATTCAAATAAACATCTATGCGACCAGGTCGAATACTAAAATAAAAATAAAATAAGTTTTCTGAAAATTGGAAAAAATAACTCAAAAATATCTTGGTATAAATTTTAGAATTGAAGTTATAAATAGTTTATATGGCTCACCCCAGGTTTTTTAATAACCTATAAATTCAAAAGAATACTAACCATATGGGGTCAAGTTGTTCGATATGATTCATTGTCATAATTATTATAGTTCCTTCTGATAACATTTGCCTATCCAAACATTTAAGAAATTTAGATAAACTAATAAATGACAATAAGTTCTTAAATTTTGATAAATCATCTTTTTCTTTTATTTCATCTTCAGAAATAAAGCTACAATAATTTGGGTGACCACCTCTTTTATAAAGGACATTTGATTGTGTATCAACATCTTCAAGAACAATTATTTGATTTGGTGGAACAGAACTAAATGCTACACTCATTTCATTATCGTTTTTAAAATCTTTGAGATTAATATAATATATATCTCGAGATAAATAAGATGATATAGCATTTATCAAACTAGTTTTTCTAGTTCCTGGTTTTCCATAAAAAAGAAAACCATGTCAGTAAGGCAAGCCAATTCTTTTATAAAATTCTTTATCATTAATAAAAAAATATAATTCTTTTTTCAACAATATTTCTTGAGGTTCATCTAAAACAACACTTTCCAAACTATTCAAGTCTGATAAATATTAAACTCTATGCCAATATCCTTCATTACGTTTATATCTTGCACATTTGTGATTTTTTCTTTTTCTTTAAAATAAGAACTCGTAATCTCACTAATAAATTCAGAAATTGCATTAACGTCAATTTTGGCATTTGAATGTGAGTTATTAGTTATTAATAAAAAAATAGATGGTATTTGATCTGGCACTTTGTAATATGGATGAGGTTGAGGATAAGGAGGATTATTATTGTTGTTGTTTTTGTCTTTGTCTTGCTGCTCAAACACGATACTGAATTTACGACCTCGATATTGAATGTTTACTTGCTGTTTCTTTTCAGGTAAGATATTAAAATCTGGTATTTTATTTGATTCGTACTTTTTACTATTGGTAGGTTGAACTATAAATGAATCTTTATCTAATTCTTTTATTTGTTGCGAGATTATCCATGATAAGGCTTCATATAACAGATTTTTTTCTTGAGTACCATAAATATCTAGAAATTTTATTTTTTATATGAGGTTAAAAATGTTAAATTTTTTACTGTATTTTCTCGAAACAACGCTCGCTTAATTTAAAATA